AAAAAAAAAAAAAAGTCCCTACAAAAACCCCATCAAAGATCGATAGTAGACAAACTCATGGAGATGAGAAAGAACCAGCGGGAAAAAAAAAAAAAAACACTGAAAACCGAAAAGACCAGAGCGCCTCTTCTCCTCTAAATGGGCACAGAACTGGACAGAGGATGAGATGGATGAATTGACAGGAGTAGGCTTCAGAAGGTGGATAATAACAAACTCTGCTGAGCTCAAGGAGCATGTTCTAATCCAGTGCAAAGAAGCTAAGAATCTTAATTGAAGGGTACAGGAGCTGCTAACTACAATAAGCAGTTTAGAGAGGAACATAAATAACTTGAAGGAGCTGAAAAACACAGCATGAGAACATTGTGAAGCATACATAAGCATCAATAGCCACATCAACCAAGTAGAAGAAAGGATATCAGAGTTTGAAGACCATCTTGCTGAAAAAAGCATGCAGACAAGATTGGAGAAAAAAGAATGAAAAGGAATGAACAAAACCTCTGGGAAATATGGGACTATGTAAAAAGACCGAACATATAACTGATTGAAGTACCTGAAAGAGATGGGGAAAACGAAACCAAGTTGGAAAACACACTTCAGGATATCATCCAGGAAAACTTCCCCAACCTAGTAAGACAGGCCAACATTCGAATTCAGAAAATACAGATAACTCCACTAAGATAATCTACGAGAAGATCAACCCCAAGACACATAATCATCAGATTCCCTAAGGTCAAAATGAAGGAAAAAATGTTAAGGGCAGCCAGAGAGAAAGGCTAGGTCACCTACAAAGGGACTACAATCAGACTAAGAGTGGACCTCTCAGCAAAAACCCTACAAGCCAGAAGAGAGTGGGGGTCAATATTCAACATTCCTAAAGAAAATAGTTTTAAACCCAGAATTTCAAATCCAGTCAAACTAAGCTTCATAAATGAAGGAGAAATAAAATCATTTCCAGACAAGCAAATGCTGAGAGATTTTGTCATCACCAGCCTGCCTTCCAAGAGCTCCTAAATGAAGCACTAAATATGTAAAGGAAAAAATCAGTACCAGTCACTGCAAAAACAAACCAATATATAAAGACCAATGACACTATGAAGAAACTGCATCAACAAGGGTGCAAAATAACCAGATAGCATCGTGATGGCAGGATGCAATTTACACATAACAATATTAACCTTAAATGTAAATGGGCTAAATGCCCTGATAAAAGACACAGACTGGTAAACTGGATAAAGAGTCAAGACCCATCAGTGTGCTGTATTCAGGAGGCTCATTTCATGTGCAAAGACACACATAGGCTCAAAATAAAGGGATGGAGGAATATTTACCAAGCAAATGGATAGCAAAAAAAAGCAGGGGTTGCAATTCTAGTCTCTGACAAAACAGACTTTAAACCAACAGAGATCAAAAAAGACAGAAGGGCAGTACATAATGGTAAAGAAATCAATTCAATAAGAA